AATGGGTAATATTATTATCGTACCCTTAATTATTAAAATCACATATTTTTATCTTAACTAACTATTAAGAAACAAAAAAAATGTAAATTTTTTAGAAAATATACAATATAAGGATATAATAAGTAATTTTATTAAAATGGTGTGGTATTAAATATTTAGGATGTGACAATAAATCTATCCTTTTTAAACCCTTATCTTATACAATGGAGTTTTGAGTTCTTGAATTTAAAAGTTAGAACATTTCGGCTTTTAGACTAACGGAATTTGTTAGCTTTTCGTTAAAACGAGAATAAAATATTTAGATAATCAATCCTCAAAGATTAAAAATGTGACAATTTAGTCTTAAAAGTTTAAAAATTAAAAGATTAGTAAACTTAAACTAAAAAGAATAAGTAAATGATTTTACCACAATATTAGATATTTACAATCAAATCAAGCAATTAACTTAATCTAAGGAAAGAATTTTGATTGAAATTAAAGAAAATTTTTAGTTATATTCTTCTAATCCTTAGAGTGTCTTAACTCAACTAATAAATTTTCTTTAATTTCAATCAAAATTTTTCTTTGAATTAAGCTAATCACTCAATTTAATTACAGATAGTTAATACTGTTCTAATGTATGTAGCAAAGTCATCCATTATTTCTTTTTAGTTTACTGTTTTTTAATTTTTAAAATTTTGACACTAAATTGACACCTTTTTTTATTTTGGTTAAGTACCATTTTTGGTCCCTCGACTATAAGAAAAAGCCCCTTTTTTATGTCCTTGAAATTTGAAATCATTTTAGTCCCTCTGTTAAGTTTTAACTAATGTGGTAGATTAATTAATGAAAAAACTTATTTTTTTTTCTTTACTTAAATTATGTGGAAAATCCATTTGGCAAAAATTGGTAACATGGCCAAATTTTTGGTCTAATATATCCTCAAAAATCATTTAATTACATAATTACCATTATAAATATTTTAAATGTTATTTTGTAATTAGGAGTACTTGACTTTAATTACTAATTTACCCTCATTTTCTTCTCCCTTCTGTCTTATCCTCTCCTTCCTCTAGCCTTTTTTCTTTTTCTTTTTCTTTTTTTTTTTTTACCTTTGCCTTTTGGAAATCAGATCTGGAAAGGCAAACCCAGGCCCATAGGTTCCTCGTGTATTGCTATATTGTTGATATTTGATTATGTGAAATTGTTGATCTAGTATTTGTTTTTTCTTGATTTGGGATGTCTACATAGGAAAAGATGGAATGATGAACAATGAGGGTTAAAATTAATTTTGAAATTTTAGTTTTTATAAATTACATGCTATGTTTAATATCTACATGGATGCCACATCATCATTTTTTATTTTTATATTTTCTCTGTCATGTATGCAAAGAAAATAAATTAGACAATTCCATAAATTAACCTAATATATTAGCCAAAATTTAATAGAGGGACTAAAAAGCAGTTAGATTTCAAAGTTTAAGGATAAAAAAAGAGATTTTTTTTCAGTATAAGGACTAAAAATGGATTTTTTTCTATAGTAGAGAGATCAAAAAAGGTATTTAACATTTAATTTTTAAGAACTAATCCTGTAAATTTTCTATTCTAGAGAGTTAACGGACTCCTTGATTTGGTTGAAATGTTTCAACTTTTAAGTTTACTAGTTAAAAACTCCACAATGTAACGCAAGGGACTAATAGTTTCAAACTTACTGAGGTAAGGGGTTAACACATGTTTTAGTCTAATTTATCAACTATTAAATTAAATTTATCCATTTGGCACCAATACTAAAATTAATATTAATTTTTACATTTTTCATATAGATTTATGAGAAAAAGATACCCTTAACCTATGCCCTTAAAATCCTTTTATTAAACCCAATTGACATTTTAAGAAAACTTAAAAATAAAATATATAATACTGAGTAATTTACAAATAAAAATGTTATAATTATAATGTTACGCAGTATTATAAGCATATAATATAATGTATCTTTATATACTTTACTCTTTTCATTTAAGGGTGCACTTAGTGAAATTATATGCATCTACTTGTTTTATATCACATCATACTTACTTTTTTCTTACTCACTTTTTTTTTTTTTAAAAAAAATTTTGGGTTATAGTTTATACAATGAGAAATAACCTTGCCTTATCCCTTAATCCATCGCATCTACATGCCATGCAACTAGAACTTAAAACCTTTTACTTTTAATAATATGAGATTATTATGAAATTACTTAGGTCGTTGGGCACATTACACTCATTCAATGATACATCATGACAATAAGTTCAAAAATGTTATAATTACAATGCTTTATGACATCGTAAACTTATAATATAATATATTATTATATAATTAACTATTTTTATTCAAGAGTCCACTCATAATATTATATACATCCCTTAATTTAATGACACATCATATTTATTTAATGCCATGTCATGTCGCAAATTTACAATTCTAGGTGGCATTATAACTATAGCTCACCAATTATAAGTTTACAATTTTTAACTAGGCTTAACCCCCAATTTAACCCCTTAAGTTATAAAGTTTGACGTTATTAGCTTTTCACATAAAAAACTTAAGAGGCATTAACCCCTTAACAATATAATTAAGGAAAATTCATCTTTATTTAACAAATTTTAAACTCACATGAATGGTAAAATCTTATTTCTATCTTATTTCTATCCTAATTAGCAACATAGTTAGCATCCCTACCATCGTGACAATATCACACTTTGTCATGCTAATTTATTTATTATTTAAGGGAAAAAAAAAAAGAACTTATTTAGATTCTCGACCAAAATGGCATATTAACTTTACAAGAGACGAGCCTCTTCAATTGTCTCAAATACTAGGAGATTAAGATAAAGAATCCCAAAGTACTTTCACATCTAGAGAAATATTCAAAGGGACCACACAGGTCGGTGGCCAAGAAACTGACACGCTACAGGTATTGCTTTTTCAAGTCTGAACTTTCTTAGTTTCACCAAGGGTTTGGTCTTGGAATTGTCTAAGGAGATTAGAAAACGGCAGCAAAAGTTTAAGCGTTAATTGAGGTTTAACTGGGATTAATTAGTTATTTTTATGTGTAATTTGAAATTTAGGAGTAGGGTTAAGATTGGTTCCAACTAATTAATCTGGGTTGTTCCTTACTAGATTTACAGAAATGTCAACAACACTTGGAATTTTCCACGGTGGAAAATTTGTGTAGGAGCCCAATGGCGAGATTAAGTATGTTGGTGGTGAGACTCACGATATGCTTGATTTACAATCTCAGGTGTTTACTATGTCGGACTAAATGAGTTGGTTAAAGGTCTAGGATATGTTTCTGTTAAGAGGCTTTATTTTAGATCACCTTCTTCAAGAACATTTGAATCTGGTGGGTTCAAAGAAATCATGCGAGGAGGGTTGTTTGCAACGTGGGAAAAGGGTTCAGTAAATATAAATATTGAACATGATGTCAATGAAACTATGCTTGGAAATTACGTGCCGAAGAATGTGGGGCAGATGATATCAGGAACAATGTGGTGGCCACTGGGGGACCATCTGAAAAAAATTATGAGACAAATATGCACAATGAACCGCAGTCTACAACTGAAAATGAAATCGAAAGAGCCAGAGTTGAAGTGGACACTTATAATGATGAAGTTGTTAGAAATTTTTACGCGTGTTACTGCTAATAATTTTTGGTTTATATAAAAAATGTATCAAATGAAAAATTAATAAAATCTAATAAAATTATATCATCTAAGTGTGTTTAAATTTTATGTCAACTTTATATAATGTGGCATGAATTGGTGTGTAGGGTCTAAAATTAAATGTGTGTTATTCAATGAGGTGTCAAAAGACTATCCTAATAAATTAGATCTTTTTCTCCCATTAAAAAAATTCTAACTCTACAAATAATAAAATTGAGGAGGGATTAGGGATGTGAACGGGGCCCCGCGGGGCCGGGGAGTGCCTCCTCGTCCCTGTCCCCGCGAATGGTGGGGACGGGGATCCCCGCGGGGATTTTTGACGAGGGCCAGATTTTGCCCCCCGTCCCCGTCCCCGTTCCCCGCGGGGAATGGGGATCCCTGCGGGGATCCCCATTTCCCACCAATTAATAACAAAGTATATATTTTTTACATCAAACATAAATAAAAATTAATTTAATACAAATAATTAAATCAACAAAATTGTTCCAAATAGAGATTAATCCAACATAAAGCAACATGTTCCAAACATAAGTTGTTCCAAATATACATAGAAATTAATCCAACATAAAGCACTATACTTGTTCCAAATATAAGCAAAAATCAACCCAACATAAATAAAATAACTAAACTAAACCACCATTCCGCATGAAGGGAAGTAGCCAAAAATCAACTCAAAACACTTTAGCTCTCAAAATCCACAATTGCTCATAAAAAGACTTGGGCTTGCCATAAAATTACCACTTGATTCATTAGGAATTTGAATTGGTGGTGGAGCTTGAAATGATCCCTCAGCACTCTGCTCTTGTGTGTTAGACATTTATCACCTAAAAATAAATTTTAAAAAAACAATTATGCCTTTCCATTGAAATATAAAATAAATTTTCATACCAAATAAGTCATTATAAAATAAACTTTAAACTTTTCTATATTATATGTATATCAATATGACAGTATATGACTATGTAAAAAAATTAACTAAGCAATTCACACTATAAGCAGCCATTAAATCTAGTAAATTCTAGGAAATACAAACTTTCTCTATGTTAATTCAACCATAATCAAATTATTAAACTTCTTACTAATTCAACCTTTTGACATTCCTCACTTTTATCTAACTAAAAGTAATTGGTTGAAAAACTAACAAATTTCCCAAAGCATAAAAAAAAGGAATACATGATTTTCCGAGAAGCAATGCAGAAGAAGAAAAAAATGCACAACCCAGAAATCACATACATATCAGTAGAACTCCAATGTGGTCATCGCCTAAATACAAGTCAAAGCAAATAAGTATAAACGCATATGAAGAATAGGTCACAGTATCATATTGTATGCCAGACTGAAAGACAAAATCATAGTCCCCCAGCTAAAGATATGCTCCCAAGCAAAAATACATCAACCACTTTTGCTTACCATCCCCTCAATCACCTTCTGAAAACATGTGGACTTTACATGAGACGAGAAGTGGAGTAGCCCATCTTATATTTACACACACAAGACATTTCAATGTGCTTTTTTTTCACTTAATACGCCTAACCTGAATTTCAACGCCATCTCAACCAGACAACCATCATGGTAACAACGACAAACCCAGTTCAATTATCACCCAATATCATGTAATTACATAGAAAATTGCAATAAATTATGAACAATACATGAATCATTCATCGTATCTAATC